TCGGTAGATTTGTGCATTTTTTGTTTATACATGTATGAGGGCTTTCTGGAGAGGGTTCGTCTCTGGTGGGATGGGTTTGGGGTGGTTGGCTCTCCTAGTCACGTGCTCGCTGGCAACTTGCGCCAGTTGAAGGAATGCCTCAAGGTTTGGAACAAAGAGGTCTTCGGGAATCTTGTTTGGCGGAAAAATCGGGTCTTTGCTGAGATAGCGGAGATTGACAGGATGGAGTGTCGGGGGCTTTTGGTGGATTCCTTGAGGACTAGGAGATTGGAGTGCCAGGCTGAATTTGCTGAGATTGCCATTTTAGAGGAGATTTCATGGAGGCAAAAATCTCGAGCTTTGTGGCTTCAGGAGGGTGACAGAAACACGAAGTTTTTCCATAGATTGGCTAACGCCCATAGAAGGGGTAATCATATTGGGAGGATTCGGGTGGAGGGGGTGACTTTGTTCAAGGAGGATGATGTCTGTAAAGGTATTGCTGAGTTCTATGAGCATTTGTTCACTGAGACGGAGGAATGGAGACCGTTGCTTGAGGGACTCCAGTTTGACTCTATTTCTGATGAGGAATGTACAGGTCTGGAAGCGCCCTTCTCTGAGGAGGAAGTTCTGGTCGCTTTGAAGAGCTGTAATGGGGATAAAGCCCAAGTCCAGATGGGTTCACCACGAGATTTCTTTTGGAGTGATGGGAGGTAGTCAAAGGGGAGGTGATGGATACATTTCACGCCTTTCATTCCCAGGGGTCTTTTGAGAAGAACTTGAATGCCACTTTCATTGCTCTCATCCCCAAAAAAGGAGGGGCGTTGGATGTTCGGGACTTCCGCCCTATTAGTTTGGTGGGGTGCATTTACAAGTTAATTGCCAAAGTTCTTGCTTTTAGGTTGAGGAGAGTGTTGGATGGTGTGATCTCTGATTCTTAGAATGCTTTTGTGGGAGGCCGTCAGATTCTGGATTCAGTTCTTATTGCTAGTGAGTGTGTGGATTCCAGGCTGAGTAGTGGGGAACCAGGGGTTTTGTGTAAGTTGGATATTGAAAAGGCATATGACCATGTGAGTTGGAGTTTCCTTCTCTATCTGATGGAAAGGATGGGTTTTGGGGAGCGGTGGAGGAAATGGATTCATTTTTGCATCTCCAGTGCTCGTTTCTCTGTACTTGTGAATGGTGCTCTGACGGGTTTTTTCTCTAGCTCGAGGGGCCTGAGATAGGGGGATCCGCTCTCCCCCTTTTTGTTCCTTTTTGTGATGGAGGCCTTCAATAGGATGTTGAGGAGGGCTGTTGAGTTGGGTTTCCTGAATGGGTTCTGGGTGGGTAGGGATGTTGCCAGCCAGTTGGAGATTTCCTACTTGATGTTTGCAGATGATACGCTTGTGTTTTGTGATGCAGAGGTGTCCCAACTCAGTTATTTGAGATGTGTTCTAATTTGGTTCCAAATCGTTTCTGGCCTCAAGGTGAATGTTGGCAAGAGTGTTTTGGTGCCAGTAGGGGAGGTGCCTGAGTTAGCTTCGCTTGCGCGCATTCTTGGTTGTCGTACTGGCTCTTTTTCTATCTCCTATTTAGGGCTCCCTCTGGGAACTCCTTCAAGGTGTGTGGGGGTTTGGGATCCTGTTGTGGACAGATTTGAGAGGAGATTGGCGGGTTGGAAGAAGCAATATCTCTCTAAAGGGGGGCGGGTTACTCTGATTAAAAGTACCCTTTCTTGCCTTCCTACTTATTTCATCTCACTTTTTCAAATTCCTCTCTCTGTTGTCGAGAGAATTGAACAGTTGCAACGCAATTTTCTTTAGGGGGGAAGAGGGGAGGAGTTTAAGTTTCATTTGGTTCGGTGGGAGCAAGTGTGCAAGCCGATTCGTTATGGTGGGTTGGGCCTTCGTAAATTGGTGCCTTTCAATAAAGCTCTCCTTGGAAAATGGTTGTGGAGGTTTGGGGTGGAGAGGCACTGGCTTTGGCGGAAGGTTATTGCTAGTAGATATGGGGAAGGTAGAGGAGGGTGGTGCTCTCTTGAGGTGCGTGGCCCGAGGGGTGTGGGAGTTTGGAAGTCTATTCGGAAGGGGTGGGCTGTCTTTTCCACTCATGTTCGTTTCAGACTTAAGGATGGCAGGCGGATCAGTTTTTGGGAGGATGTTTGGTGCGGGGAGGTTTCTCTTGCCCTCGCTTTCCCTCGGTTGTTTAGGATGGCTTCGGATAAACAAGCCAAGGTGGTTGACTGTTATTGTCTTGATAATGGAAGACTGGTTTGGGACGTTCGATTCAGGCGTCCTTTTCAAGATTGGGAGGTCGAGGATGTCACTCTTTTGTTGGAGGCGTTGTATCGTCAGAGCGTTATGGTTGGTGATTCTGATTGTTGGATTTGGAAGCCAAATTCGCAAGGTCGCTTTGATGTTCGTTCCTTCTTCAGGTGTCTTACAGCTGAGCCTGGAGGATCCTTCCCGTGGAAGTCTGTTTGGCGCTCTAAGGCTCCTCTCAAGGTGGCTTTTTTTGCTTGGATCTCTGTTTTGGGTAAGATTTTGATCCAAGACAATTTGAGAAGGAGGAATCAGGTAGTGGTTAATCGGTGCTACATGTGTCTTTAGGATAATGAGACAGTGGATCATCTTCTTCTTCATTGCCCCGTGGCTAAGGATTGTTGGGACTTGATGCTTTGTTTGTTTGGGTTCTATTGGGTTATGTCTCGCTCCTCTAGACAGATGGTTGAGGCTTGGAGAGGGTTCTCTGTAGGAGCCCATGCTCGTGATGCTTGGAGGGCTACGCCTCTTTGTGTGTGGTGGTGCATCTGGCTGGAGAGGAATAAAAGATATTTTGAGGGAAAGGAGAGGCCTCTATTCTTTCCACTCTTTTTTGTTGGGTTTCGGGTAGAGATTTTAGATCTTCTGAGGATATTGTTGTTTTCTTGGCCTCTTTGAAGGCTTAAAGGGTTGTTTTGGCCCTGTGTTTGTTCTCTTGGGATGCGTTCCCCTTTTGAACGCTTTCAATGCATTTCTTACTTATCAAAAAAAAAAAAAAAAAAAAAAAAAAAATTAAATTTGGTTTTTCTTGTAATTATACTTTTCTTTCCCATACTAATAGTCCCATTTGGGAGGAGAGCTCGAAAAAAGGGTGAAAGAGGCATCCCTGTGGAAAGTAAAGTATTCTTCCTTCCTTTTGTTTGGTTGAGTAAGGGGAAGGGTAGGTTTTGAAATATTATTTTACTAGTATACCCCTTATTTTGTCAGGTTTATATGAACATGAATCTAATAATATATGAGTAAATACCCCTCATTACGTAAGACAGAGTTAATAAATTAGGGTAATTGCGTCATTTCAATTATATCCAACAAATAATTTGTTTCCCTCTCTCTCCCCTTCTCCATCTAAATTTGGATGGATGCACATTTGGTGGACGTGGAGGGTTGCCACATTCATTGTCCCATCCCTTCTCTCTCCCTTTCTTTCTACCAAACAATGGAAGCATGCTTCATCTTTCAGCCTTACACCTCTCATACTGAACATAATATAAAAGAAAATCTTATATATTAGTTAAGGTTCACTAGTTACATGATAACGCGCGTCCAAGGTTCACTAGTCACTTGTTACATATAGACATGTCAAGATGTGCTGAATCTGTTTGGAAGTGTTCCAGAAGTGCAATATCTGATATGTGCGTGAAGGGGTTGATGACCATAGCTATTTGTTATGCTATATTATATTCATTGAGCAATTAGAAAAAAAAAGTATTTGAGATCAAAAAAGGAAAAAATTGAAATGTGAAAGGTTTTTTTTTGGTTTCTTTTAAGTTTGTGGTTTTTAGGTTTATTCTGTTTAGAAAGCAAAGTTTTAAGTGGTTTTGCCTAGTGGTATTAGCAGAATAGGTTTTTTTTTTCTTTCTCCCCTGTAATTAAGTATTAGTTTTAGAAAGAATTGTTTTATAAAACAAAAAAAGTTAGTTTATGGATGTATAAAGAAAGTTTGAAATAAGAAAATATAAGGGACAATTTATTTAAAGAAAAGAAATATTCATTTTTAGAAATGAAGAAATCATTTAGAGTTATTTTGATTTTATTTTGGAAACCGTGTTTAGAAATAAAATTGTAAAGTCATGTTATGACCTCGGAAACTTTCTTTGGGTGAGGGTCATTGACTGCTTCAGCGGTAAAATGCTTGTGAATGAGTGTCACTGGTGCGAGTTTGACCCTCAAAACAGAACGATCTAAAGTCCTCCCTCCCTCCCCATGACCCTGCTGTGGTGGGATGGTAATGTCTATGTAGACTTCCTTTGGTTAGGTGCTTTCATGAAATTGTGTAATATGCTCTCATTCATTCATCTTAAAATGTAAACAAATGAAACATGTTTGAGAAATCAAAAATGGAAACAATTGGGTTTTAAGAAAATGTTTTCAGAAGTACTGAAATAGTTTTTTTAAAGTTGCGTGTGCATTTAAAAAAAAAAAAAAAAATCATACATCTAGTAGAAAATCGATTTATTTTTGCTTTTGAATTTTTTTATTCTAAATTTAAAAGGAAAGGGGCTTCTAATTTTTGATGGTTAGGGAGTTCTCTCTCATTTCATACTCCTTTGTTTACCTAAACCTGGATAGATTCCCTGTACAAGTTAGGTTTCAATTACTTTAGGTTGTAAAAAGAACAGAGGTTACACACACATGCAAGGCTTAAAATTGAAGAAAAATTGGGCTTAGAATTTAATTAATAGGGATGGTCATTCTTATTTAGCAAATTAAAGCAAAATAGGAAAACACTAGAGAGCCATCTTATTTTTTCTTCTCTTTGTTCTTCATTTTATTCTTTTATCTTTTATATTCAAAATCTCCTTGGAAAATCTGGAGTGAGAGAGTCTGGATATAAAATTGGATTTTTATGAGAGAATTTTGGTAAACTAGGATTGTGTGTGTATATATATATATATATATTTATTTATTTATTTATGTAATTTATGTTTAAGTGGGTAAGATTCCATTTTGTTGCTTGGGCCAATATCATGTTGTGATATGTATTTATTTTTGTATCTGCAGGAGTTGGTGCAGGAGGGGAGGAACAAAAGGCTTCTTCAATATCAATTTTCCATTTACCTTGGCTGGCATGCGTTGTTGCATTATTGTTTGTAGGTATCTTATCCTGTGCGCCATCGTAGTCAAAAAATATTTCATAGGTATTTATTAGTGTATGCAAAGTCCAATTTATGTCACTGGATTCTTGTAGTACAAACATGTAAGTTAGGACACTTTCCGTGGATTTGAGAATCTTTTACAGGGCTGGTAATTGTTTACAGCCTTATGGCTAAATAATTGTTATTTTAGTAAGAGGTATGCCTGACAAGTGTGCGGGTCAAAGCGTCAGACATTTGGACCTCTAAAAATTTGTGCTACAGAACATGGCCACATGGAAGTATTAAAGTTGCATAGCTAATTCAGTTATAATGAATTGTTGAATGAAGTGCTTGTATGTTTTTATGAAATGTGAATTACTACCTCTGTCTCATTATAGATGTCCACATTCAAAATTCACACATTTTAAGACACTAGCTTTTATTACATTGGCAAGAGCATATATTTTCAAATTTATTCCTTTTAAATGTTATTCTTTGATGGGGTCTGCCATTTTGAGACTTTAATGTGTTTTATCTTTTAGGGGTAAATTGGGAATGTAAAAAAAAATAGTGCATTGATTTTTGAAATGGGACAACTATTATGCGACAGCCAAAATTAGAAAGATGGACTATTAATATGGGACGGAGGGAGTAGTATTTGTTTCCTTTATCATGGCGCTACATTTCGCTGGTATTGCCTTTGGATGTCATTAGCATATTAAAATAATGTGTATTGTTACTTATCAAAATAATAATGATGATGATGATGATGATGATGTGTATTGCGGATTGTCAAAGTGTAACCTTCTTTTGAACTACTTGATTAAACTAGTCAAAAGGATTTACTTACAGCTTACGTGATATGTTTTGTTAACTGGAATACCAATAATATTAATTTTCAAAAGGATTGGCATGATTTGATGCAAGATGTTGTTATGTTTGCAATGATTGGTTTCCAGTGACATTCTACCTTGTTATTCTTTTCATAGTTAGAGAGGGTATGTTAGAGAATCTACTAGTTCTGTGTATCTAAATGATTTGTCTGATGGAGGTCCTGCAAATATAGGTACTTCTTAATGGATGGCTTCGTATCTACAGACGTCAGCGAAGAGAGCAGGAGTTGGTATTCACTTCATTTTACTTATATTGCATATGTTCTATTGAATTATAAAGCATTGTCTTTTGAATTTGCCTTCAGTTCCATGACATGCCTTTTTTGTGCAGATGCATTCTGAAGTTGTTGAGGAAATTATATATGGGTTGGAATCTGGCATTTTGTTTGGGTATTGCTTCCTCACTCATACTATTTTGCTTTTTTGTGCCTGTTCAGATTTCGCTTTTCCCTTCATTTTCGGGTTTTTAATGTGAATTGTTTCAATGATATATCAAATCTTTTTGTGAATGTTATCGGTATTGGTGTCAAAATCTGAAATGGATTTGTGAAGATGAATTGGGCAAACTTAAATGATCAGAGTTTGTGTGCATGCAAATATACTTGATCAATAGGCTAAATGGTAAAATCTACAGAATTGTTAAGATAATACAGTTTTGAATCTTTGAGTGAAATTAATTATTTGTGGGACTTGCGGCAAAAGCTTTTATGAGTTTACAGTGTTGTCTTTTTTTTTTTTTTTTTTTTCCCTAATTGGTACTCACACACACTTGTCTCTTCTGAGATTTGAACCCTTGACCTCCCTTTGAGAAGTAAGAGGCTGATACCACTAGGCTACTGGCCTGTTGGTAAATACTCACAAATTTTAAATACTCTGAAGTTCATACTCTAACTAATATTAATAAATAATGTATGAATATTTTTAAGGGCTTTTATGATTGTTGTACCAGAACCCTATGGTTTTGTGGAATATTATGTTTGACATCGGTACTTAATCAACCTAACCTCTCTTTGAGTCAGTCATACTATTACTGTCAGCAAGCTCTATTCCTTCTTCTGGGATGCAAATGAACTATAGTATCTTGTACCATTTTCACTTTTATGTGCTCTTGCCTCTGCCATCTAGAAAAGATTAGCCCTCCTAATGGTTAAGCGTTCAATTTTAGTTTCCAGGCCGCCTTAAGAATGTAATTTCCCATTCATTGTGTAAAGGAACAGATAAAAGGTAAAGTATGTGACATATGACTTCATCTCACAGCTACCACCCACTTTTTTAATTGAGAATATTACTTGTTGAGATTTAAACTGCTATCCCAAAAACTAAGTGAAGGAAAATACTTGAGTGTTGTAAAGTAAAAGTAGGATACTGGGTGGAACCATTTTGGTTTGAGAAGATATATGGTCTTCAAATAGATGCCAATCCTCTAGTTTTAAGAAAAAAACTATGATGTTGCCAATTGAAAAGAGGACAAGGACACTACAATGTATATTTATTTATATTATATTAATGTAGACATGTTTATAAATTAAAATATATTTCTATATGTGTAAAAATATGAACATAACTTTCTTATGTTATATATTATTACTAGAATTCCTCACAAAAGGAATATGACAAGCAAGCTTATTGTAATATAGCATTGACATAAATTTTGGACTAAATTTGTCATAATATATTTTTATTACATCTCAAATCTTCTTTCTTGAAAAAATTCTAAGCTTTTCCTAACAAGTACGTTATGATATTATACTTGAAAAAGTTACATTTTAACATTCAAGACCTGTTAAACAAGTGTCTCAGTGTCTGAAAACGTATCGGCTATAATGCGGCCGACGTATTGGGTACGTGTTCAAAGTAATATATAAATGTATATATATATATATATATATATATATATATATATATATATATATATATATATTTCAATTAATGTACATGTTCAGGAAGTATCAGACATGTATACGCAAGTGTTCGAGGAGTGTTAGTATCACATGTAGTCACGATACTGATATGTTCTTGTAGAAGTGTCCGTGCTACTTAGATTGGTATTGGGATGCATATGTAGAAGATAAGTCATACGAGGATAGCATGCAAGACTTGCTTCTTCGCCTCATTTTACAAATACTGGATAGCTGGTGTTTCTTCTCCTATTCTTCTTATTTCACAATTAAAGAATTTTGATTAAGAATTATAAAATTTTGGGGGTATTTGAAATGGAAGAATCTGAATGCACATAATCTAATAATAAGGATTTGAAAGAAATGATGTGGACAAAAATATCTATCATGTAGCTCTATAAAAAAGAATGCCATAAAATATCTCTGTCTACCATGCTTAGTCTAACCAAAACAAATGAAATCATCAAACTCAGAGGTTCAATAAATAAAAAGTAAAATAATTCGAAGGAGAAATTGCAATCACATGAAACCCCCAACCACTGCAGTAATATATTTAGTCTGTCCAAAGAAGAATAAGAGAGAGAAAACTGAGGAAGTAGGAGTCTGACAAATGTTTTTATTGAATTTGGGGCTGAGGGAGGGGTTGTATCATTCTTGCCTTTTTTTTCATGCTTTTACCAGAGTTCTGGAGGAAGCTGCAATCAATAGGATTTTCCTAATCCTCCCTCCAAAAGGAAGAGCGTGAAACTCCTTTTCCTTTCCCGAGTGATTTTCAGCAAAAATAGAACCAATTTAGGTTAAATAGTGCATCCCAACAGAGGCTGACCATACTTGTCCACCCTTTCTCTCTCAACTTGAATGACACGAGGCAGGCCATGGAAATTGTAAGAATAAGCAGGAAGGGTCAGATAGAGATATGCATGCTCTTAGTATTTTTGAAATTAAGACCTATTTTGAGAGGATTTTGTGTATTTGGGACCCAAAATCCAAGAAATGCTCGAGGGAATTAAATAATACTCATCTTTTTTTTTTCTTTCTTTCTTTTTTTTTTTTTGTTAATCCAAACAGAGGATCTTTAAACTAGGAAAACTAAAATATCTTTCTGAATTCCTCCCCTAGATGTTCTATAGAAAGCTCTTTTACCCCAAATCAAGGATGGTGTTATACTTCTACATAACATGATTCCAGTAACAAGAAGACATTGACATTTCGGGGGAGTTTGATTGATATAATTTCTAATAGGGCACATTCAAGAGAAAAAAAAAAAAAGAAAGAAAGAAGAAAAGTACTATTTGACTTTTGTAACTAATCCTCTGAACTAGATTTCATGCCAAATAACTCCCATGATCCATATAAAATTTACAAATAGCTCCCTTATGGGGAAATGGCCGGGAACACTTCAGAATGCAAACAGGGGTTGACTGAAAACAATTTCCTTCTCCTCCCTTCTCCTCCCTCCTTATTTTTAACCCTCTCTCTCTCTCTCTCTTCGTGATTATAACTAAGAGTAGCTGCGGTTGCTGTTGTTAAATTTATCAGGTGTACAATGCAATTCTTATCTGTCTGTTGGTTCTTTGGATTTAGTTTGCATTTTTTTCCTGGTATTAAGTGCTGACAGAATAATTGCAGAATGGCATCTGTAATATCGAAGATGGGATTTGTATTCTTGGAGCAAGGATTCTCCAAGTTGCTGGTTCCTATATGCATTTCAATTAGTATATGCTGTAGTGGTTCGGGATTTGTTTACCAGGTACATTAAACACTCATGTCCTACAATTATATCCAAGTTATTTTTATGTACTGTACTCACTAATCTAGGCCATATTTTTTTGCCTTTACACCAAATCACTAACCATGCTTGCATGCCAGTCTGTCCAATGTATATTTTTTTCCATTGTCCATTTTTATACTGTTGTTTCCAATAAGTTGCTTCTACCAAGCCTTTTTTATTGTGGCAATCATTATAACTACTCTTATGCGAATTACTTCGGTAAATTAATTTAATAGAACGTGCTATTACTTTCAAACAGACACGGGGCTTGAAGCATGGAAGAGCAATTGTAGTATCCACATGTGCTGCTGTGGCATCAATTATTACTGGTGTACTTGCTGGTATGCTTGCTCTGGGTGAAAGATTGCCTTCAGCCCCAGTAGCTCGGTTTTCACTGTTGCTGGGATGGTAAGCTTAAATCCACTTAATTTTTTTCACTTACTGCTTTCACAAGATGGAACATCTTGAACCTAAGCCTCAAGATTGAAGCATGGGTTCTTAATCTGCGTGGCATGACACTTGAGAACTATATATATAATCCCCCACCCCACCCAAACAACAAAGAGTGTATATGCTGAAAACCAGCAAAAGTAGACATTTACAAATTGTCTTATTTTGAGAAACCAGTCTCCACATTTTCAAATAATCTTTATTTTCCAGTTTAAATTAACAAATGAAGTAAACGGTCTAAATAACTGATGATACTATTTCCTTCTCATGCTTGCATTTAGATGTATCTCATAGGCCTTTTTGATTGTTGGGTTCTCATCTTCCTCTTTGCTGAATCACGTCTACAAAGATTGAGATGTTCACGGGGGTCTGATAGAACAAATTAAAGATTTTGACATGTAAGATTGTTATTCACTTGGAAATCTCCATTTGCAGGCTATTCATTATTACAGGTGTGATACTACTGGTTAGTTCAACACGACTGGTGTCGTACCTTCCAAGGCCATTGCGTCGCTATGTGCAAAGTGGTATTGAGAGGAATACGGGCCTCAAGCGATCTGCATCTGTCCGCGCCAAGGATTCGAGCCCAAGTGCTGTTATCCAGGCAACCACATTGCATCATCTGATGTCAAATCCCTCTAAAGAGAAGGCTTGAAGTGCTACACAAGCTTCTGCTCATAAGGTGCTTGAAAGCATGCTTGCATATAAACATTAGCAGGTTGGTCTTGTTGAGGCTGGTGTAAAGAGTAGTCATCTACTGTCAGGGTTATTGGAGGGCATATGCAGTTTTTAAGATTGTCCATAACACAACACATCTTTATACCATATTTTGATATCTCTTCATTCAATTAACTTTTTCCCAGAATCCAAGTATAATGTCAATCATGATTGTATAAAGATGGTTTAACGAGGTTGGGTTTGTATGGAAGTAGCTTAAAAGAAGCATACTGTTCTCTAATGTGTCATCTGAGAGTGATCTAATGACAATGAATTTGTATTTTGCCTTCATATAAACGATTATGACATTTACTTGAGCATAGGCTGGTAAAAATTATTATGCTACACTATTAGCAGATTGCTGAGGGTATCCCTAAAAGTTGGTTACTACATTTTACTTTGCATTTAAACTTAAATTTAAGAGAAGACACGGCGAATAATAAAATAAATATATGAAAAAAAAGAATTCATGTACTGACCCATCCATATGCTGCTTATAATTTATAAATTTAACAGGCATTATTCAGTCTGTCTATGCATTTGATAAGCCAAAAACACTTTTACTGTTACTAGTTTTAAACAAAGGGACTGTTTTCAAGCTGGACGCCTTGTGGTGATGCTTTAAGTTCAAGCTTTACTGCTGCACCTAACAATAAATTCTATATGATTTTTATGCATCAATATTATTGTTTCCAGAAAGCTTTGTTTTTTATTATCTTGAAATGCAAATATCAACTTACTGATCACTAGGCAGAGGAAAAGATTGCATATGTAATAATCTGCATCACACCCTGTTTGTTACTGTACATTTGGAATTCACACAATTATTTGCGAAATAATAAAAAAAAAAAAAAGGAAAATGATTTAAACACCGAATGTTGAACCGATTTCTCTGGCCCAATCTACGTGGCTATCCATGTGTACAAAAAGTCATTAACTTTCTCTCTTCCGTTTTTTCCTCCTTTGCAACGAGGTTCAGGCGAGGTGGAGGAAGGTTGAGATCCATGTTGATGAACTTTCTAGGGACTACGTTAGTGGCACAAAACTGGAGGACTCCATGGTACTGCTCTAGCTAGGGCTTCGAGTGTTGTTGACGGTGGTGATTTCGCTACCGAGTCGTATGCATGCACCGCCGCTTCAATGATCATCACGCCTCTAAACGCGTCTCCTTGCAATTATCGCCATTAACGGCGTTTGTGGATTTTTTTTTCCCTCGGCACCATATTTTTGTGTGTGGTGTCATCTTTAAGATTTAGATAGAGAGATGGGGGAGAGAAAAAGAGGGAGAGATGCCCTCCACAAATTTCCTTTCCTTCATATATCTATTCCTTAGGAAATGAAATCTCTTCGCTCGACCATGTTCTCGGTAGCTGCCAAACATCTTGGTTTCCATAGTCCTCTATGAACACATAGCTCACCGACAATTCCGACCTTCTTCGTCGGTGTTGTTCAACGCCGACGTTGAAATATCTCTAGCCGCTATCCTAAGTACTGTCCACCTTGTTGCGCTGCCAGCATATCCCAAGCCTCACCGTCACCGGAATACATTTACGCCGTTCCGAGCTTGCTGTTGTTCACAGTTGTTCCTCGCTGCTTGGGTGCCGTTTAGACAGTGCTCGCCGCCCTCTTCACCGTCAAACAAACTCACTTCTCGCCGGTTCACTCGAGCCACGTCCTCTTCACTGTCGGAACAAATCCACTTTAGACGTCTTTTTTTTAGGTTCATTGCCAACTAGACTGCCACATTGGATTCTACCTAAGAAATTGGCCAAAATCATTGGTTTGATTATCACGACCCAAAAAAAAAAAAATGAAAAAGAAAAAACAAAGACAATAATGTACTTAACCATGCCATTAGGGAGGAGGAAAGCTAATATCTCTTTTCTTTTTGTAATAAAAGGCTTTTGTCCTGGGTGTCGTCATATCAGGAGCTTAACAGTGGAAGGTGGTCACTGTAGATTTGGTCAGATTTAGTCTTCTCGGTGGTTTCTACTAATACAAATCTAACATTTGATATTATTTTTCGAAAATCAACGATCTCCTGAGTGACGTCAGATCAAACTTTTAAGATTGCACCTTTCATATGCCCTACCAAAAAAAATGATAATAACCCTTATGAAAGCAATGCCGATGACTTTTAAAGATACAAGACTTGATTGTGACTTAGTGGATTCAAAGAAGTTGCAAAGGGGGACCCCTGCCCCTCATGGAATGGCTAACATCAATTCACCAGTTCCCAAACAGTGTTTGCTGGCTTTTCAATTGCTGCTGCTTCTGCTAGTTCAGGGTCAAGACATAAAAGGGACCCCCTTAAATGGAATCAATACCTATGCCTACCTGTACTCATTATTCATGAAATTAACAACAACAGAAGGACCACATATATGAGCTAGGAGTACAGCTCAATAAAACAATTCAAAACCCAATCTTCAAAAAAATCATAATTTTCAATTTGTCCAATTATGATGAGCCATGTCATGGTACTAGGATGTACAGTATACTGTGACCCAAACAAGACAAAGGATAAAAGCTGCCCCCAAGGCATTTGGTCCCCCTAGAGAAATACCCATGTGAATTGCAGATGACATGTTGCAGTTGTTATCCACATATACAAGGCCAAAGCACATCCAATGAGAGCATCACAAAGTGACCTAATTTTTCCAAAAGTGACAGATCAGATGGGCTCCTAAAATTTGGGACAAATGGCTTCCCAGGGGCACCATACCTAAATTAATTCGGGAGAGTCTCTCGACGCAAAATTAGCCTGATGGTATCTCTTCATCTGGAGGTTCGAGTTGCAATAGGGTCAAAGTTTGCGGACGAGTCATCTTACTTACCCAATAAAAACTTGAACAAGTAAATTTGGAACATGATCTAGATTCCAGAGGCTAGAATAAACATCTAAATTTCAAAGTTTTACTAAGAATCTTTCTTCAAGTTGCATCCATGTATTCACAAGCTACTCCAAAATAGATGGACCCCAATAGGACATTATGCTTGGATTATTTAACTCTTAAAAAGCAGGTAATAGGTGATACTAATTCCTAGAGAAGACTTCAGTAAAAAAATAACCTGAGCTTACTGAATCTGTAAAATATGAAGGATCCTAAAGATGTGCAGGATTTTATTAAAAAAAAAATGTTTATTATAACAACAATTTACAACACCATTAAGAAAAATTATTCAATTTTGTTTAGAACCATCCACAAGTTTCATAATGGAGTCCTCTTGAGTTGCTTGTGGTCCACTAACTTCAACACACCTTCTTAACTGTGTTTTTTTCGTATCAATTCAAGTAATTAAGCTATTGTACTGTGGAAGGACCAGAATATTCAGTAATACAACTGTTTATCAGCTCAGTGCATGTCGGAGTATCTTTGCCCTTATTGTAAGTGGCAATAGCCTGAGATGACTACACAACAGTGTATTAACTGACCAACCCTTTGGAATCCAAAGGCTGGTTGTCTAAAATTCGAGGATGATTCTTCTAAAAACTCAAACCACAGAGGATGAGAAAAAATATAAACAGCAATGCACAATATGCGGCCCCATTTGAGCGGATTCTCATACAAAATTCAAACAATGATGATGAATCACATCAGGAATCAATTGTCGGAGACCTACCACAAACAACAAATTTATTGTGAGTTCGGTCCACTTGGATAATTACTCAGTTGCTCCATATTCCAGCTTTCATGGGGAGCAACTTGGTCATGGGAAGGAGTATATTGCTGCAATGTTAAAAAACAGAATTAGATTTTTTTTTTTTTTTTAAAAAAAAAAAAAAATGCTCTCTTTGGAATATCATTTATCCAGCAGTAGAATCGAAAAAATAAATCTGTTAAGATCTGTCAAATGGTAATCTTCTAAAGCCAGAAGGTTTTGCAAGCTCACCAATGAGCATTAACCCATATGGTAAGATCTCTCTTCCCCGAAGGGGAGGTTAAGAGTTCGAGCCCTGCTAGGGCAATATTTTGGGGGTGAACAAGCTGGTTAAATCATTTGACTGGCAATTAGACATTTCCTTGATAATATCTTCAGAATATTCTAAAATTAAATGGAAATTTATTCAAAAAATCAGGGGAAGTTATCACCACAATTTTGGTCCAGAGGGGAGAAAGGTACATGCATGAAAGTAGATATTGTGGATTACAACAAAAACTATAATTTCCATGTGCTCTTCTGAAATCTGTCATATTTTCTCAGAAAAACTAAACTGAAGTAAAAAGATAAAAATAACAATACCAATAACAATAGTACAGTTAGGCTGGGTCTCTACCTCCATCTTCATTAAAAGCTCCTTGACAGTTGGAGCAGAGATAATTATGTCGCGAGCACATGGCTTTATGAAACCTTCTTTAACACCATTGTCGAATAATGCGAGCAGAAAGTTGTAGTATCCATCAACATTTAGCAGACCAACCTGCACACGAGTTACACTGTTATATCACCTCAGCTTTGATCTTGCAGAACAAAAATTGATTACTCACTGGTTTTTTATGAATTCCGAGTTGTGACCATGTTATCATCTCCAATAGCTCTTCCATGGTTCCATATCCTCCTAAAATAAATCAAATGTCAAACATGCTACTGGATAATAGTATATAGAAGATATGTACACTTCTGTCTTAAAGGAAAAGGAATTTCAATAATTACCAGGAAGAGCAATAAAAGCATCAGCCTCTCTAGCCATTTCAGCTTTTCGCTCATGCATGTCTGAAACAATTTTTAATTCTCCAACAGTCTCACCTGATATCTGTAGAAGTTCCCACGTTAACGACTAATTAATGTTCAATTGATACTGTTTTTCCAATGACCAACAAGATTGAAGTATTCTTTTTCATAGAGAAGTAAAACCAACATTATAAACTACACCGCAATCTTTTCTCCAAAACAACCCATGTAATAACTAGAATTTAGATGCAAAACAGACCAAGAGAACCTAATTAACTGTGACATATGTACTTTGAAAATATAAGCTCGTTTAAATATAAACAAAGAAATCTTATAAGAAGAAGCAAAAAAAAAAAACAAACAAAAGGAGGCAATTCAAGAGCAGGGGCAGGAATCAGATTACCTCAAACATGAGCAGTTTCACTTGTCAGTTTATCAGTCCTAAAGATATTGGTGATTTTAAGAATATTTATCTTAATTTAATTTTTTACTTCTTAAAAAGGTGTTTTCTCTATAAATATGAATAATGAACAAAATTGTTACACAGATTAAAACTTAAGAGCAGTATACCTCTAGAGGCATAAGAGCTTTTGGAATAACCCTGCATGTGAAAAAAGCAATCTAAAATTGAGTAAAGTGCCATTTTGATCAAGAAAAGCCTAGGTTACACAGATGAACACGATTATCTTAATGAAATTAAAATAAAATAAAATAAAATAAGGAAAAAATATTGTCCTGGGCATATCTCTCAGTTACCCAAGAACATGGCAACCTCCATCATAGACTCTCTGCGAAATCGAACCCATCAACCCAACACTTCCTCCACCATACACCAAGTCCATCTTCCTCTTCACCTGCAATGAACATCCGTAAAATCAAACAACAACACTCACAAAAAAATTCTGAAAAATAAGGATAAACAAAAGCAGTTCCATTATCAAAATGAAGCAACCACCTATTCACAAATCAAAATATAATCCTTAAAAGTCATGTTCTCAATCCAAAAACCAAAACCCATGAACATTAACACTGTCAAATAACTGAAAATAGTTCAATACAATCAAGACTTTAGCATATTCCATTATCAAAGTGAAACAATCACCTATTTACAACTCGAAATATAACCCCTAAAAGTCATGTTCTCAAACCAAAAACCAAAAACCAAAACCCAAGAACATTATCACTGTCAAATAAATGAAAATAGTTCAATACAATCAAATCAATAACATATCAAACACAGAACAGTTCATGTATTGGGAACACAGACCAAAAACCCAACAGTCCAATCATCAAACAGATGAGTCCCAGTCCAATACATCACACACCCAGTTTCCAAAGTCAACTAAAACTATATGTTTTGTGACCATAAACAGAAATAGGTCTCAGAAACAAAAGAAAAAATGGATAAAAGATGGGTGTATTTGAACAAAAACCAACCAGTTCATTCCCCAAATCAATAGCAGCATCGCTGAAGACTTTTCTGTGCCCAGGATTGCTTCCGCAGAATACACAGACCCTCTTGAATTTGCAACTAGTATTGTCTTCCATTCCTAGATTTCTTAGTGTTCTTCAATTCAATCTCAAACTATTGAAATCAATCAAAACCTTATACAATATCTCCGTTTTTAATACTTATATGTATATTTGTATATAAAAATCAAATATTAATATGGGATTTATAAAAGTTGTTGAAATATAGAATAATAATAATAATATAAAAAAAAAACAATCTGGGTGTTTCTTGAATTGATGATTTAAAGCGATTCGAATCGAGAAATGAGACAGACTCCACCAATATACATATATACATAAAATATGTATTTGATAAAGATAACACAAGCAGCCCACAGGCTCATTTCCCTTTCTAATCCAACGTCCGTTTGTCGGTTCCAATACTATTTTATTAATTATTAAATGATATAAAAAAATATCTAATTATTAAAGATAAATAAAAAATAAGAAAATTATTTATAAATTTTAAGTCAATCAATATTTTTTTTCACAGTTAATTAAAATAAGCAATGCTACTCGTTCAACCTAAGCATGGACCATATCTCATCAACCTCTTTGTCATGTATTTTCTATTTTAACTAATGCTTTCTTTATTGGTACATTTTATACTATAAATTGTACATATTTGTATCTTCTTGGTGTATTTTCTCTATCTAACGTTTGATTCATGTTATCTATTTTAACATTTTTATTTCAATACGTAAATTTGTAAAAAAATTTTATTTTTAAATAAACTTTAAAAAATAAATAAATTATGTGCATTGATTGACACAATTAATGTATAAACTTTTGAACTTGTCTATTAGTTAAAAAGGAAAATAAGGATCGATTTTTATTATTAAGCCATCTTTGTTGGACTCTATCTCAATTAATGATGGAGAATGATTGAGATAAACACGTAAAAATATAAATTTTTTTTTTTTTAAATATTGACAAAAATTCTTGTAACTCTTGTTAAACTCTATTTGTCACTCAAAATTCTATTGCACTATATGTATTGGAGTCCCGTAAAAAAGCTGATAAGTTTTTTTATTATATTATTTTTTGTCCCTTAATAAAATTCGTAAACAAGGAGTTGGAGAAGGGTCAACCCAATAGAAACAGGAATCATGAGGACCCACTGCCACAAAGACATATAAGAATAAAAAAATAATAGATAACTTTATTTAAGTAGAGAGTATTATCAAATTTTAACAATTGAAATGAGTGGAGTATTTAATTGTCCAACTATGGATTGAGGACCAAAGTCCCACTTCAGCTATCATTTGGTTGAGGAGCGTTATGCCCTTCATTTGGTTGGCTTTTTTCGGATTTCTAATCATTTCCCTCAGGTATAATGTCACATGTCTTAAAAGCTTCCATTAATTCCCTTTTGAATTTTGATACCTTTCAAGATAGTCAATCTCTTTTTCTTTTTTCTTTTTTTAAGTTGATTCCCATAAACATACTTTTTAAGGACTTGTTTATATTTAAGAATGATTCGAATTTTAAATCTGATACTCTCTGAAACACTCAAACCAAATTCTTATTTACTTAAACTAACCCTTCATGATTAAGATGCAACCAATCTCATTATTCTCTCATTCTTAAAATAATTAAGTTTGAAATTATGAACAAATTCAATTGTTTTGGACATGAAGAGTGCTAAAGAGAGTATTTGACATGAAGAGTGCTAAAAAGAGTAGCAAGCTATCAATTATTTACAGTGTTGCGTGATTGGTCATTTCTTTCTTTTTCCTTTTTTGGCTGGTTATTATAGAGTTATTTATACTATTTTTTTTTAATAAAAAAATTTACAACTAGTGTCATTGTGAAAATGAGAGTATATTGTCTCACTTTGTAATGGCATCAAGTTGTACCTTTTTTTTTTGAGAGTATATTGTCTCACTTTGTAATGGCATCAAGTTGTACCTTTCTTTTTTTTTCTTTCAAAAATCAATAGGAAACCAAAAAAACGACGAAGATAAAAAGAAGTGACCAATAAGAGGACTGTGAATGGGGACTGTCCTTAACAACACCACTCAGACAAAATGTCAAACACTAGAAAGAAAGATTCAAGCAAATCCGGATCAACTCCTCCCTTTGAAGCTTGGAGAAGACAAAATTATATCGTTAAACCCATACACTCACGTATCCTTATTCGCACTTGAACCCACTGAGCTACAAACCTACAATCCTTTGGTTATTCCCATAATAAAATTTTACTACAATAAAAAAAATAATAATAATAATACTTATACGGAATACTAAGACTCAAAATTTAAGCCGATGGTAATGTGTCACTATATCTTTACTATACTTAGAAAGATAAAATTTTAAAAATAAAACTATCCTTATAGAATTTCAATTACTAAAGAATCTTAATTACTAATAATATCTTTCATCATGCATCCCTATCCTATAGTCAAACCATTCTTTATTTTCTTCTCTTATCTTTTTTTCTATCATTGATTCCCGATACACAAATATATCACTTTACAGAACTTGGTAAGGAGGGTTTTCGATTGACGAGCTAATTCAGTTTATTATTGATTTTTTGCATAAGAGTGTTGATAAGGGCAGAGCCAGGTTTTCAAGAGGTGTAGTATACTTTATTAAAAAAAAAAAAAAAAATCAAATACCCCATGCTTTTCATTAATTTAATTAGCCTTAGTCTCTTTAACGATGTACCATAGCCTTAATAAAAACAGTGACAAGCATAAATTAATTTCAAAATAAATGTATTGAAACTAACAATGCAACTGGACACAAATCCAAAATATAGAAGTGTATCTTTCAAAAAAAAAAAAAAAATGTTTATGAAGAATAAAGAAAAAAACAAAGAAAAAAGAAAGAACTTTGAAAGGAAAACAAAATTAGGATTTAACTGAAAAAGTGAATATAACATTTTTTCTAATAAGGAATCAAAAGAATTTAAAATTTACAACAAAAATTTATCATATATTTTTAGAAATTTAAAATTTTAGGGAGGACATTTTCTAACATTTCTATAAAATTTCTTACATATATATAGTAAAATACATATTTTGTATATATGGCGTTATTATTATTATTTTTTTATGTTTTGCGAAATTTTGTATATTCTTTTACATCCATCTATATAATTTTGCATATTCTTAAACATCTATATATAAATAAATAAATAAATATATATATAAAGAAGAGAGAGAGTGTTTTGATAAAAATTTAAAAACCAATTTAAGGGATTGAATTGGACATCTTTCCTTATGCGCCCTTGAATCCGCTGGGCTACAAGCCTACAATCCTTTAGTTATCCCTATAATAAAATTTTACCATAATAAGTATAATATTTGCCTACTCACGGGTGAATAAGAAATTTATACTCACCATATATGAAGCGCAATGCTAAATTGACAAGTATACTTACATTTAAAATAATTAAAAGTAAATAATTACATTTAAAATAATTAAAAATTAATAATTTGATAGTTATCCAGTTAAACTCAAATGAATCCTAATAAAATTATAATTCTCCCTCCTCTCCCTTTTTATCACGCTTAATCTTATCCATTCTATCCTTCTCTCCCTCTCCCATATTTTTAGAGAGAGAAATTCGTGTCTCCGAAGAATAGGTATCAGAGCTATGGCTAAGGCTTAGGTTTTTCTTATAGAAATCAGAATGAAAGAATTAAATATATTATATATATATATATCTAGAGACAGACTTTAATATAGTTCAAAAACCACAGATCGGACAGATTAACAAAGAATTTGCAGAGAAAGCACGACAAAAAATCTTTATTTTTTTTTATTTTGAGGACATATAAGAATTTGATCCTGTATGGTGTACATGTGTATTGCACCGATCGAAATAAAGATTTTTTGTCGTGCTATATATATATATTTTTTTTAATTTTGAGGACATATAAGAATTTGATCCTGTATGGTGTACATGTGTATTGCACCGATCGAAATAAAGATTTTTTGTCGTGCTATATATATATATATTTTTAAATTTTGAGGACATATAAGAATTTGATCCTGTATGGTGTACATGTGTATTGCACCGATCGAAATAAAGATTTTTTGTCGTGCTTTCTTGAATTTGATCCTGTATGGTGTACATGTGTATTGCACCGATCGAAATAAATATTTTTTGTCGTGCTTTCTCTGCAAATTATTTGTTAATCTGTCCGATCTGTGATTTTTGAACTATATTAAAGTCTGTCTCTAGATCCTATGAATAGGCCTTGAAAATAGCTTCATATATAACATTGGCAAAGTAGTCATCCTCCTATTATAGAGAAACAGTTAATTTATCAAGACTCCGTAGGAGTGTCTTTTACCTTTTTCCTACAGATGTGATATATTTGATGACCTTTTTTTCTTTTTCTTTTTCTTTCTTTTTTTTTTTTTTTTTTTTTTTTTTTTTTTTTTTTTTCGTCCTTGTTGCGAAAGAAGTTTCAATTCAGTCTTTCTATGTTTAATGGTGCATACCCAGATCAATTTGTTCGGATTCTTTGAGTTTAACCTGATAAATATCAAATTATTTATTTTTAATTATTTTAAATGTTAGTACACTTATAAGTTTAGTATAAATTTTTTACTCACCGGTGAGTGAGTAAATATTATCCTAAAATAAATTGATAAAGAGACATACAAAGAACCAGAGAGGATTCAAGTTTCAATTTGGTAATAACTTAATGCACTTCAAACCCTTCTCACAAAGAGCGTGGGGTGGTTCTAATGTTGGAAACATTTTTTTAAAAATGATTGTAATGTGATTATTGATACTTGATGAATTAGGTTGTATTTTCCACATAGAGCGTGGGGTGGTTCTAATGTTGGAAACATTTTTTAAAAAATGATTGCAATGTGATTATTGATACTTGATGAATTGTGTTGTACTTTCTAATTTAGTGGTCGGAATATGATTGAATGCAGTTGAATTGTAATTTTCTAACTTATTTGGTGTGATTTATTTGTAACCATTGATATTAAGTTTACAAAGAAGAAAAATTAGGTATGTTTATTTAGCACTATCGAAGGACAACTGTCGGATGAGGTAAATCACTCTAAAATTACTCTAATATTTTGCAGGAACTCACAAAAAATTATATAAATATTCTAAAAGTATTATGTGATTTAAGCATCAATCAGACTAAATTCTTATTTAAATATTATAATATTCTTAATTTCTGCGCCAACATTTGATGCACCATATTGTCGTTCAACTTGTTCAATTTAGTAGATTTCTATATTCATTGATGTTGTTTTTAACATTTTGACACAAACCTATGAAATGATTTTCGATAAGATCATGTGAAGTTAGATAGTCACATCCACTTTTACACGTTTACACTCTTT